ACGGACCTTACTATACGTTTCGTTTAAACACATTTTAATCAATCTAACTAGTTTCATGGGTATCCCAAACTCTATCAGAATATTGTACAATATTTCCCTCCTAACCGAATCATAGGCTTTCTTGAAGTCTATGAATAGCTGATGTACTGTCTCATCGTACTCCCATTTTTTCTCCAATATCTGACGAATGCAAAAGATCTGATCTGTAGTTAATCTGTTACGTCGAAACCCACACTGATGATCCCCAATAATTTCATCTATATATGGACTTAACCTTGAAAGAAGAATATTGGACAAAATTTTATATGAAGTTGATAGCAGTGATATCCCTCGATAGACTGTGTACCATACACTTAATAATCATGAACTTTCCAATCAAGATATCAAATCACAGTGCAAGATAATCTCTATAGTGAGAACAGTATCTTTAAACTTTACACTATTAAGCCCACTATGTTACAGGAATATGCAATATGGCACTCTTGCTGCAATCATATAATTATGGAAGGAAGTTCTTTCAAATTCCTTTCTGAATGCATTCAAGCTTGATGAGTATATACCTCCATCTATCGTGAACACGAACTTTAAGTCTGACCTCCCTGCTGCCCCTGTATGTTATCTGCAGAATTCAGAAACTGCCACATCCAGCAGCAAGGATACCCTGCACCTGACCTTCGCAATAATGCAAGTGGTGAAGATGGCAGCCACACATATAAACAATTCTCATAACGTAAGGTAGGAGTTAGTAGGTGTTCAATTTAATTTCTACTGGAGTTATTTTGATTTTCATATTAAAAGAAATTTTCAGAATTAACTGTGCAAATGGACATAGCCAGGAATCAATTATTCAGTAGTAAAAAGAGGTTAAATAACCCAAGAATCATCATCACATCATGGAAATATTACCTACTTACTATGAAAATAAATGAGTCAAAACTCAGTAAAAAATATTTACGCTTTCAGTACAACGTAAAGCATCTTTAAAATGACAGCGATACTGTAAGAAGAGTACTATGCAGTCTGGCAGTTTACCAAAATTTCAAAGTAATGTACTGTCTCGACCTACAAAACCCAAGAGTATGCTGAACACCCCATTTGCTGGCTTATTCTTCATCTCTCAAGATGGAGGCATTATATTCACATGAAATATTTGTACACTATCAGATTACAAGATGTCACATCCCACATGATGTATTCTTCATAGTCAATGTCATAAGAACGTGAAGACTGTACCCTGTTTTATTTCTCAAAGCATTTCAGATCCATTTCACTTTCAATTAAAATGCATTTCCCTAAAAGATATATAGTACAAAACGGATATAGTATTACCGAAAAATACGGCAATGCATGTTTGACACATTGGATTAATCTGTCCACATTGTCATTTTCAACATCTTTAGGGTCAAAATGCTGATTAATTTCAGCTTGCTCTGCTACAATATCAACCAATTCCTGCTGCCCACTCACAAGGTGACCAAGTCGGGTCCAACCCAGTAATTCCATTAAATTATGAAATTCATCAGCAGTTACATCCTGCAAAAAGATAATGCACATATATATGAAACACACTGCAATGGACTGCATTTACAGAACTGCCAGCAGAACATTTTGAACAACTGTGCATGCCAATAAAATCATTCATTCATCAATGGCTCTACAGCCCCCTTGGGCCCTGGCCTCTGATTTTTTCAGTTTCATGATCATTTTACAGTCGGTAGGACTCCTTGGATGAGTAATCAGCGCATCGCAGCAAATAAAATAGGAGAAATAAATAGTATGTCTACATTTCAAATTAATTATTAAATATGGCTCAACAAAACATGCATCTGCTTGTCTGTGACTAGGAAATCAAAGTCAACAAGTGCAAAAATATTCTGATTTATTCATTAATATTCACCACAACGCTCTTCCCTTACTTCTCCAGCAAGCTTGCAACTGGCAAGATTATGTGGTCCTAGTTACCACGACACTGACTTTCTTTTATGTTAAGATGTAGAGAAAAGATTAAAACAAAATACATTACATGGGTGGGCACAGTTTCTCTTATGGAGAAATGTCTGGCAAATGAAATTTCTGCCTGATCAATGAACTGAGTTAACATCTACTGATCCCTGATTTTAAGTACAAAATAACCAAATTGGATTTTCAGCAAAATTAAATTAAGAAGCATAAACACAGTGTCCCCTCATTGGTGGCTCCACCTTATCGTGGTGAGGGGGGTTTGAGTATGCCAAGGACCCTGAAAGCTATACCAGTGGTAGCGTAGCTACTGGCAGGGCCTCCCTTGGTGGACAGGTCAAAGGGTAGGCATCAGACGAAGAGAGACACCAAAAACTGATGCCAGGAGCAGCGTCATCAGCAGCGACTTGAAGCACAGAGCAAATGATGCTCGAGATGGTTCAAGTTCGTATAGCAACAGGCGTGACCAGAGTGGTTTGAACGGCTGCTGTACTGCGATGTGGAAAGCAAATGGAAAAACTACCACATTATCACTTTTCCTGGATAGTCTCTTTCCAAAAACAAGAGATATCATATATGCCAGATGTTTCCTCTGGAGACAAAACAATCTGGAGGTAAACTACTCCCCCAATCGGATCTCCGGGGGGGAGTGTTTCTAGAGGAAATGTCATGCAGGCGTTACAACATGAAAAAGTGCGAAGACCAGAAGAAACATCATGGCTACAAGATTGGGACATGGAATGTAAGGACCTTGAATCAAGCAGGAAAATTGGAGAATTTGAAAATGGAAATGCAGAAGAATGAGGTGTCTGTTTTAGGTGTCAGCGAAGTATGGTGGAAAGGACAAGGTGAAATAAGAAGTGGTGATTCTACAGGGTATTATTCTGGAGGCGAACGGGCTGAAAGAGGTGTGGCAATAGTGGTGCATAAAAGTGTAGTGAGGAGTGTTGTTAAGATTGTTTGTAATGACAGAATTATTGCTCTGAAGTTAAAGGCGGAACCGGTAGATATACTGATTATGCAAGTGTATATGCCAACATCAGAGTATGAAGATGGTGAAGTGGAAAAAGTGTATGACACAACTGAAGAAATTCTTCAGGAAGATGGAAGAGGTGACACAAACAGCATCATATTAGGAGACTAGAACAGCATTGTTGGAGATGAATCATATCAGAATATTGTTGGATCACATGGACTAGGAAGACGGAATCACAGGGGTCAAATGCTTATTGACTTTTGTGAACGAAATGGATTGATTGTTACCAACACTTGGTTCAAGAAGCCAAAGAGAAGACGTCACACATGGAAGGCACCTGGGGATTGAAGGCGGCAACAGCTGGACTACATCCTTGTGCTACATCGATTCAAAAACAGTGTGAAGGATGTGAAGACACTGCCTGGGGCAGATATTGACTCTGACCACAACTTACTGGTTGCCAAGTTTCGAACCAGGTTGAAGAAAATTATAAGATTCCAAAAGCGCAGACCTAGATGGGATTTGGAGAAGTTATATGCTCAAAGACAAAGCGTGCAGGAGACCCTAGAAGAGAAACTCGGTGCAACTGAAGGTGAAAGCGGAAATGCTGAAGTGCAGTGGAACAATATAAAAGAATGCATGTTAGATACTATCAGTGATTTGGTTGGTAAAGTTGAGAAGATAGCAAGAAAACCATGGGTTACACAAGAAATGATGAGTAAAATGGAGGAGCGAAGGAAATGGAAGAATGTCAACAATGAAGAAGGCAGGAGGAAATACAGGAGACTGAGGAATGAACTGAAAAGAGTCAGGGACAGGGCCAAAAAGGAATATTTTGAGAAGATATGTAATGAGATTATAGAATTTCAAAGGACAGGACGTTATGATTTGATGTATATGAAGAAAAAACAACTAGAATGGAAAGAGAACCATAGGATTCAAAATATTGGCATCAAAGACTCCCAGGGGAATAGAATAGTAGATCAGAGGAAAGTGCTGAAAATTTGGAAAAATTATATTACAGAACTATATGATCGACCTAATCAGCCAGAAACCTTGGAAGTGGAACAGAATAAGAAGTAGATAGAGACGAGAAAGGACCATATAATTTACAAAGTGAGGTGGAAAAAGCTATCAAGGAAATGAGGAAGGGAAAGGCTACAGGAGAAGATGATGTACCTGGAGATGTGCTTAAGTTACTGGGAGAAGGTGGTTTGAAAACACTGACAAAACTAATGAACACCATATATGAAAGTGGAGAGTGGCCCAAGGACTTTACAGAAGTTACAATGATTGCCTTAAAGAAAAAGACAAAAGCTACAAAATGCAGCGACCATCGCACAATAAGCCTTTGGCATATACAGCAAAGATAATAGCAAAGCTACTTAAAAGAAGAATTGAAAGGAAAATAAAGGATATACTTGGAGAGGATCAGTTTGGATTTAGAAGAGGAACCAGGGATGCAATTGGGATGATGAGAATTATAGCAGAACAAACTTTGGAGATAGATGAACTGTGTGCTTGCTTTATAGACTGGCAGAAGGCATTTGACAGTGTAAATTGGACCAAATTAATGCAGATCCTAAAGGAAACAGGTATCAACTGGCGTAAAAGAAGCTTGATTAGTAAACTGTACATGGATCAGAAAGTTAGAGAGCAACTGGACAGAGGGGAGACAAGAAGTGTGAAGATTGGAAGAGGTGTTCGACAAGGATGCCGTTTATCACCAATTTTGTTCAACTTGTACAGCGAATGCCTTACCAAGAAAGCTCTGGATGGGCTTGGAGACTTCAAATTAGGAGGGCAAATTATTCAGACTGTGAAATANAAAAACAACTGGAGAATGTGAAATGTTTTAAATATTTGGGTAGCTTGTTAACAGATGATGGAAGGTGTACTTGTGAAATTAAATCTAGGACTGCCATGGCAAAAGCTGCATTTAGCAAGAAGAAGAAGAATCTTTTTACTAGCAAATTGGACTTAAATTTGAGGAAGAAACTAGTGAAATGCTGCATCTGGAGCATAGCTCTCTATGGGGCTGAAACATGGACACTTAGGGCAGTAGATCAGAAACATCTGGAAAGTTTTGAAATGTGATGTTGGAGAAGGATGAAGAAGATCAGTTGGATCGATTATGTGAGAAATGAAGAAGTGTTATTTAGAGTCAGTGAGCAGAGGAATATCCTACATGAAATAAGAAAACGGAAGGCTAATTGGATTGGTCATATCTTACACAGTAATGGCCTTCTAAAAGAAGTTATTGAAGGAAAGATAGAGGGGCAGATAGAAGTGACCAGAAGACGAGGAAGAAGACATAAGAAGATGTTGGATGACCTTGGGGACAGAAGACGATATTCTCATTTGAAGGAGAAAGCTCTAGATAGCATTAAGTGGAGGAATTATTTTGAAAGAGACCGTGGACCTGTCGTCTGACAGATTACTGATGAATGAATGAATGAATGAATGAAGCATAGTGTGAAGGTGTGGATTACTGAAATGTATGGTAATACATTTTTAATATGTAATATTAAATATAAAACATTTAAAATAAAATAAATTACTTCATGCTATAAAAAATTATTACTGATGAACAACACACACAGCTTCATTATGAACCACAGTAATAATATACACAAAACTCACTTGCAACAACCCAGTCATTACCTGCAAGACTTTTTTGCACTCACTAATCAGTACATCTTCTGCATCTTTTGTAATGACATCGTGCCCTAGAGATTTAATTTTAACTGTGAGGAATTTGATGCACCTTTCTCTAATCAGGTCATCTCCACTCAAGATTTGTGAGAAAATACCACCAAGAGTGCCTGAAAAGAAAGAAATGTCCGCACATCTAAGTAACAAAACTTTCACTGCCACATACGCACACATATGTGCATATCAGCTGGGGCCAAAACAAAGACATCAAGGTATCTAAGGTAGATATGGCAGTCATCCATGTGCTTAATTAAGCACATGCCATGACGACATATGGCGGAGTACAGACAAAGCTAGAAACATTCTTAACACCAGTACTGGATGAATGTGAATGATTAGCTTCAGGCAGCAGCAGCTACTTCACCACTGGAGAAACAGCCGCTGGTACCAGCTGGAACAGAGGTATGGCGGGTCCCAAAGCCAATCTGGATGCAGTGAAGAAGACAAAAATCTTTTACCTGTACTGAGAATCAAAGCATGAGTCCATGTCTGTCCAGTCCATGGTGTAATCAATCAACCAACAAAGATAACCCAGCATCACGATGCTAACCAATTAAGTTTTAAAACAGAGTAATCAGATTGTCTTCAGATTAAATTCTGGGACTGTCTGGCTATATTAAGATTCCAAACACTTTAAATTCAATCCTCCTGGCACATGGTAGAATATCTGTTCAGGGACAAGTAAATGAACCACACCCTTCTAAATATTCTAACACAAGCTTCTACAATCCCAGTTTCCTGAACATTCTTCAAATACCAGAACAGCTTTATATATGTAATATCAGAATTAAATTTCTGGAAGTTCAGCATCCTCTGTTGGTGAAAAGGTATCTAGGATACAGTAGAGCTGATGGTCAGTGTACTCGGTGTGTGCGTGTAATAAAAACTTCAGAAAGTGTACAGTTTCATAATGTAACATTATTCTTGGCAGTGTGACATGGCCATTTATATTACAATATTACAATTCCTACTCTCAATGTGTTAAGTAAAACACAAAGATTAGCATCTTCTGTGATAATCTGGTACATCACCACCAATGTTTCATCTCTATGATGGCAATATGACATTTCTCTGAAATGCTGGTAACAATCTCCCACGTTACATAGTGTCACATCCCAAAAGTCAGTAACTTTTGTCATCGCTATGAGGACCTAAAATATTAGAATCCATATATATTTAAGTTTGACCTCAAAGTATGATACAGCACTACAATACCAATGCATTTCATACAGCCTACCTTTAGCATCAGTCTTGAATAGAGTCATCAGGGAATTATGAACAACACTTAATTCCGCATTATCTTCAGCTTGTAACAGTTGAGCCAGAATATCTGCAATCTTCTGTGTATGTTCTTTGTTGTCCTTACACAAACTAGGCAGGTCTTTAATAGCCTGTTTTCTAATCTGTTAACATAAATGTATGGTTCAGGTAAATAGAACTTGTTCTTTCTCAGAGCATAAAAGATCATCAGTGCTGTCCAATGTAGTTGATAATGTTCTTTTTTTTATTATTATTTCTTTAATAATTCATCCTCTATCTGTTTCGGATGGAGTGACCATCTTCAGAAGGACATGTCAATTCATGCGGAAACAAATATCACAGTGTCACTGGCCATTACCAATACACACATACACCAAAATTACAATGTCATGAATATAAAATATTAGCCTTTAACAATTACAATAATGTGCTTGAATTTATTAAAACATTTCTAAATCATTACAATTAGTCTATTTACAAGTAAGGTTTAAAAAAATATGTTAAAAACTAGAACCAATTTGGGTCATGTCCTTTATACTGCTTCTCTTTAAAGGAAGATGGGTGTCTACCGCGTCGTGGTTCCGTTGTTTGAAGAACGGCACTCTTTAGTGTCATCCAGTTGTTTGAGCCACGCTGTGTTGTGTTTATCAACCACACTGGACGGCACTGATGATCTTTTATATTAGTGCAAGTGTGACGGATCAGGATGAACCAAGTCAAATGTTCTTTCTCCAACATCACTGCTTCCACATTATATAATTTGTCTGACATTTCATTGCTATGAGTGAAATAAGTGTGCAAGAACAGGAAATCTACTCTGTTGACACTTAATGATTTATGTGATGATCATGTTACTGGGAAACATCATTTAAAATTAAAAATACGTCAATCAAGAGTTATTTTCCACAATAAATCAAAAACGTCTTTTTGGGGGGGGACGGGGTTGCATAGGCCAAACAAACCTAGATGATTATAGACATCTTTCCATGTAGAATGTTTAGCTTAGTTAGTTTATACCAGCGCTGTGCACAACTACATGCATACAGGTTCTACTGTCTTCAATGCTGTGCAATCCTTCACCATATTGCCTGTTACTCATCACAATTATATATCCATGGCTCTACTACACTCCTTTGCTAAACCTTGGCCACTTGGAAAAAATATAACATAACAACTTACTTCTGAAAGTATGTTCCTTGTGATTCTTTACTAGGATAAAAATATCAAAGCAAACTATATCTCTAAAAATAATTTGTGATCCTGGGCAAGAGAATCAATGTTATGAAATATGTATTCCCCACAAAATAAATCAGTTCTTGAACATGTCTGCAATTTTTATGAGTTTGTAGAACACAATCTTCCACCTAAAACAGAATGTGCAATGGTTAACTGCGACACCAACTTACAGCCACATCTTCATCCTCACAGAGATCTAGTTGTGCCTCAATGGCTTGATCTGCTAGTGCTGGAAAATGTTTAAAGAAACGTGCTATAAATTGTGATGCCAGTCTCTTTTCTTTCGACGAGCCCTTTACAGCTGTCAGAATTTCCAAGTATTCTGCTTCATGCTGAAAAATACAAAATAAAATACCGATAGTGTCTGCAATTCTCATGTAATCAGAAAAATCCCATACAAAAAGTTACCATTTGTATAAATTTACTTAAAAATCAAAGTTGTATTTCACATATGTTGACCCAAAATATGGTCTTCTTCCACCCACCATTAGAAACACTGACCACTGCCCTCCCTCATAAGGATGCCACCACAAAAGAGCAGAGGCTAGGAGAATTTGTGATTGCTTTAAAATATATCTGAAATCTTTCACTCATCAATCTGTTACCTAGGAAAGTTAACATGCAAAAACTAAAGCAAAAACGTGTTAGTCACAGTCCATATTGAGTGTCTGTATTTTCTAAGTTCACATTGGGAAAAGCAAGTATTCTTGTTCCATTAACATTGTATTTTTTGGTTACATTCAGTGAGAAACGCCATAAAACAATATACTGCTAAAAACAAAACCTGTCATTCTCTGCATATACATTCATTAAGAGTCACAGCCTTATTATTTATTGAAATGTAATGCTGTCTCAGTGCTTAATTAGTTAAGAACTGCATACATCATGAAGACACTGGAATCGACAAATCAGAAATAATTCTATACCTTATAAAAAGCAAAACAGACAAACTTCATACTGCCACGGGTTAATTACTATTAATTTTAGATATTCTAAATTGCATTAATATAACTACGTTCAAGAGGCCAAAGAACTCAACGTTATACATTCTTTCCTGCAAATGAAAATTTGGTCAGACTTTCAAGGCTGAATAACGCATTTCACAGGAATTTGACAGCGTCGAATAACATTCCATAACTGATACAGTAAAAACCATTTCCCTTACACTGCAGACTTTCGAATTATCAACGTTTATTTCGGCATTTACCTATTACGGAAGTATTAAGATGGAGACTCACCTCGCTTTTATCTTTAGAGTCGGCCAGAATACCGAAATTCTTATATAATTTCTCTATTCTGTCTGTACTCATAATGCCTACTCTGGTCACAAAGATGCAATAAATAATTTTAGTATACTCGAAAGATCAATAAACTAAATCTTTACTTCTTAAACAACAAGCACCACACCAACCACATCCACTACCGCGGTACTACCAAGCACGGATTATTAATAAAGGTACAGAACGGTCGTCACCGTCGTCACGGATGTTAATCGCGCAATGCACGACGGAGCCGACGGAGCTTGTGCAGCGCCTAGACATAACGAGCAGCGTTGGTGGTTTGCCCAGGTTCCAGGTTCCAGGTTCCAGAATTCCAGAACGCGACCGAATACGACGCACACAGCCACGTAAGAAAAGGCATCGTAAGGCACAGTGAGTAATAAACAGTATAATGATAATAACACGTAACAAATAGAGATCAAAGCATAACACTGATAACTGATAAGTAACATTTTAACGTTGCAGGTATATACACAATTAAAACATAAGAAGAACGACTCCAATAGCGGATGAATGGCGCACATGGGTTGGTTATGCCACATGTAAGACGAAAGATCTTGGCAAGTTTTAATATATAAATTTTAAAATTGTTGTATTGAACAACGACGAACACACGTTTTATGTAATTTTATAATTGGACATTTGATGGCAGGCAGTGCAATGGTTTAACGTGATTAATACACCTGAGGATGGCAGAATGATGCCGAAACATGTAGTGTGAAGTAACAAGTGAAATTGTATGCACTAAAATACGGTTAATATATGCACATTATGGATACGAATCAGTGCAACAGGACGCTAAAATACAACATTATAGGTCTTACTAATTGTAGTAAATTAAAATTTTGAAGTTACAACTGATTGCATAACGTCCAGATCAAATTTATGAAAATACTTTTCCAAGGTTTTCATTATGAGCCTTGGGGTTCATAGAGAAAAGGATAAGAGAATTAATCAGTGTTAGAAATTGTACTTAAACACTTAATCCTACTTACTGTCTTAGATAATAATATGAAATGTAAATGATCCTACATTACAGCTGTGTAGTTTGACAGTTTTGATATCACAATATCAGAGGCACGTAGGGTATTGTATAGAATAATTATTGTTCTTTTTAATGTTCCAGAACAACCGCACCCGGATTCGCCACATCTGCTCTAGGGGAAGAATTTTTTAGGACACGTACATTTCCGACAGCATCAACGCTGTCTTCAGATTTGCCATTCGGGGATCATGCCACTTCACAACCAAGTACTGAGTTGTTTGGAAGCCCTGCTGGTCAGACTTCTGGCCTGTCATTTGGTACTACATCTACTCCAACCAGATTAACATTTGGAACCCCCACTACAACCACAGCCCAGACAGGGATTTCTTTTGGTACATCTTCTACCAGACTAACATTTGGAACTCCTGCCACTTCTGCTTCATCAACAGGTTTAACTTTTGAAACTCCTAATGTCACTATAACACAAACAGGCATGACATTTGCAACTCCAACTACAAGTTCAGGAATATCTGCATCACCTTCATTTAGTACTCCTTCTACAAGTGCTACTGTGGGTTTCCAAGGGTTACAAACTGCTCTGAGTACAGCAGCTACACTTGGAAGTTTGACACTTGGTACATCAACTGCTGTCACATCAGCTTCTGGTTTCAGTCTGTTAGCACCACCAACGACAAGTCAGGGTACAGGATTCGCCTTGGGTGGCACAACTACATCAACATCTGGAGGAGGATTATTTGGGTTAGGCACAACAAAGCCGCTACTATTCTCACCAGCAACCAATACAACCACTTCCATAGGCTTTGCTGGAACTTCAGTACCTTCAACCACTATGACATCAATAGGACTTGGAGGTATTGATGTATCTCAGACTAAACCAGGACTTGCAGGTAAGAGATAAATAGATCCTGATAGTTTGTATGGCAATATAAAAACAAACTCCATGGCTTGAGTCTGCAAGCGAACTATACTGACTGAGCGACTGCCACTTATCAGCGAAGTTAATGCCAACTTTAGTGGGTAGAGGGTGTTGCATGGTCAGTGCAACAAATCCCCCATGGCCATTAATTTCAATTTTCTAGACTAGAGTATAGTAATATATTTTCAAAGAAATATGCAAACTTTTAACATAAATTTTTGTAAACATGAAACAAGGTGACTGTGCAACATATTTCATGTACCTTTTAGTTTGACACAGATAATTCATGAGCCATTTAAGCTGGAAATATTAAATTCGTAATGGAAATATGAGGGGCGTTCAAGTTCTAAGGTCTCCGATTTTTTTTCTCAGGACTGGGAGCAGATAGACACATGCGGTTTAGTTTAAAATACGTGTGCACTCTTTGTGAATGCGTGACAGAGATGGCAGCACTCTGTGGCACACAGAACTCTAGTGGTAGCGGCGAAAGTTAGGAGTGTTTTTGATACTTAAAATGGCGACGTTTTCGTTGCAAGAACAGTGAGTAATTATTCGTTTTCTCCACTTGCGTGGTGCGACACCCATTGAAATTCATCGCCAGTTGAGTGAGACGTGTGGTGATGGTGTCATGAATGTGAAAAATGTGCGTTCGTGGACGTGACAGTTCAAAGAAGGCCGAACGTCGTGTGACAATGAACCAAAACAATCTCGGCCTCACACCAGCCGGTCTTACAACATGGTTGAGCGAGTTGAGAAAGTTGTTTTGGAGGATCACCGATTGAGTGTGGAAAACATCGCCTCCAAAATTGGCATTTCCGTGGGATCTGTGCACAAAATCCTGCATGAAGACCTGCGAATGCGGAAAGTGTCCTCCAGGTGGGTGCCACGAATTCCAGCAGATGACCACAAGGCTGCACGCATGGTAATTTGCCAGGCGATGTTGACACGTGATGAAGGCATGAATGGGACTTTCTTTTCATCAACTGTGACAATGGATGAGACATGGATGCCGTTTTTCAATCCGCTATTGCATCAGCAATTTTCCAGTGGTCAAAACAGACTCCTACAGAAGCGTTCGCAGCGGCCATGGAATCATGCGTCGACGTTGTGAAAAATGTGTACGGCTGCAGGGAGATTACGTTGAAAAGTGACAGAAGTTTCAAATTTTTTGTATGATTATTGTGTGAGAAAAAAAATCGGAGACCTTAGAACTTGAACGCACAACGTAGATTACAAACATTCCTACAGACTGAATATGAAATATTCTTTATATGTCAAAAGCTATGAATAGGACAGAGTTAAATAAAGTCTGTTTTTATAAATTAATGCTGTGATTTATGCTCACTAGTTCATAGAATTGACTTTTATAAATACATATTTACTACATATACTGCAGACAATAGAAAGTATACATTTTACAAAAATTTTAGCTAAAATTAATAGAAGCAACATAGCTTTACTGTCTTATGTTACATTGGTTTGAATATTTTTATATTGGGGGGGGGGCTGTATGCCACAAGCCAGAAGTCACAGGTTCAAGTTCTGATGAGGTGAATTTTTTCAGTTTGTCTATTCTTTTCAGCCACACTGTGGCCATGGGGTTGACTTAGCCTTTAACAGAAATGAGTACCAGGAATCTTCCTTGGGGGTAAAGGGAGGCTGGCACGTAAGGCTAACAACCTTACTGCTTTCTGTGAGCTAATTGTGTAAAGAAAATATGGGAGACTTGACGTCTCACAACCCTGTGGGCTTTCACATCCTGTTACAGGGATAGCTTTACCTAGCTTTTATTTTTATGTTGCATTGTGTACTGCTGTAATCCATAGTAAATTTAAAGATATATCAGGGTACAGTCAAATTACAACATAAAATGTTATTTACTATTTATTTTATCTTAGTTGATGTCCCAGTATGTTTCAGCATTCACATCATCGTCGGGGTAACCATTCAATAAATGCATCAGTAAAACTTGTGCAACATCACTTTACAAGATTGTACATAAAATTAAAAAAACAAACTTATGAAATCAGTTAACAAGTTAAGTACCACCATGTTATAATATTATCATATTCTTTCATGCAATTGAAAAATCATGTTTAAAAACTTATATACATAATTAATTAGTTGACAGCATGATAAAAAATGATGGAATTAACAAGATTTATGCCATCAACAGGGGAGGGCAGCTTTTTTAAGAAATAAAACAGGTGGGGTGTCATTGTAGGTACAAAGATATGGAGGGCAAACGTTTAAAAAAGTTAGAGAAGTTTATGATTTTTGTGAACTGTTTTCTAACTTTACTGGGCAGTGCATTTGACAGAAATTCATAGGATCTTGAATGAGAGGTTTCACAGTGGAAGGGCAGCTTGTGTGTAACTGAATTCTGAAGGCATTGCATAAAATATGGGGGGCATACGGTAGCGTAGTTGGTTGAGGGGCTATGCTAAAGCCAGAAGGCCATGGGTTCAAGTCCCAATGAGGTTATTGGATTTTTTTTTCAGTTTACCTAATCCCTGAGGTTTACTCAGCCTCTAACAGATATGAGTACCAGGAATTAGTTAAATAATTTTCCTGGGGATTAAAGTGTGGCCGGTGCATAAGGCTGACAACCTCACCTCCATCTGTGAGCCATATCTGGCCCGCAGTGTGATTTTATGCAGCCCGTGAAAGAATTGTGCAGAAATGCGCCAATTGAACTAATTTTCCAATGAGTACTGGTAAAAAAAATACTTGTTCACAGATTTCAAATTCATTAAGATTGTGTTTAAAATATATTGATATTCCATATTATGTTAATATTAATATTATTTACAATTTTACTAATTCTGGACTGTATACTGCGCGGTATTTCTTCGTACTTGTTTGGCCTCAATTGGCAGTGTCACTTCGGGCAATGTAGGTAGCACGAGCAGTTCATTACTAGCCGTCTTGTGCACAAGACTTCTTGCAGTGGTGCAGTGTAATTGTAACCGATCATCACCGCTGCCAGTGTTGTACTTATTACCATTTTTGTATTAAGGACAACTTATGCCCAGTTTTGCCCTAACTGTCCCGAGAATTGGTAGCGAGGAATGTTCATAAGGCTACCAGAACTTTAGTCCATTCTACGACAGCCGGCTTGTAAATTTATCTCCATTTTTGGGACGACATATCTGTATGAACAAACTTTTTCCCAGATGAAAGTACATCAAGTCGAAATACAGGGCAAATTTATCCGAAGAACATTTAAAGTCGCTACTTGTGATAGCGTTTCCAAATTCAAACCTCAATTTAATCAGATTTTAAGAATGCAAAAAGAGTTCCATCATTTACATTAATTGTTTTATTGTAATTTGTGATGAAAATATGAGCATTTGCTGCTACTATACATTGTCATTAATATACAATAATTTATTCTCATGTACTTTGTATTTAGTTTATGAAATTCTGTGCTTTCAATAAAACTCATATACCTAGAGTTATTAATTTCTCATTTTATCTGGCCTGTTGAAAGTGCTGAATTACCTAATGTGGCCCGCGTTTTGAAAAGTTTGGAGACCCCTGGTCTAGATAATGTGGAACTCTCAACATCTCACAACCCAATGGGCCTTCACAGGCTGGTACAGGGATAGCTTTACTTTTTACTTTTTATGCATAAAATATGTCTGCATGTAATTAACGTTCTTTTCCCTGATTGAAAGTCTTGAGTCAGTGGTTGGCACTCCTGCTTTGTGTTCAGGAGATCCTGTGTTCAAGTATGAATTCACAAATTGGCTAGCCTGGCTGAACTTAATGGTTTTTCTGAGGCCCTCTAGGCAGATGTCAGGATAGTGCCTCAAATTAGGCCATGACCATTTGTTTCTACATAATTTCCATTTAATTCTTTACTAATTAATCTGTTATTTGAATCTGTATAATTTGACCTATTGAAAGCATTGTTAAATAACCAACAAACCAAAATAAAATAGGTGAACAGAACTTCAATTAGCGTCCGTTTTACTGTGTTTTCTGGAAGTAAAAACAACCTTAGAAGCAATACACTTGTTTGTGTGCAATCTGTCTCCCCTATGCCAATTTTTGAAGTCTGACTTTATCATCATAACCTTTTTTACACGTACAAATGTGATTGATATATAAAAAGAACCGTAAACTCAGCAATTTTGTATTGGAACATCAATGTTCATCGCTACCTAAACAATGAACTTCAGAATCGCTGGATTGGGTGTGTTGGTGAGGATGACGTAGCTCGGTTCACTTGGCCCCCCAGATCACCTGATCTAATGCCTTGTGACTTGTTCCTCTGGGGGTACATTAAGGATCATGTTTACATACCCCCACTGCCAAGAACACTAGTAGAGCTGAGGGAACGCATCGATGGTACAGTGATGACCATTGACAGGATGATGCTACAGAATGTGTGGAATGAGCTCAACTACCTCCAGGATGTGTGTCGTGTGACCCAAGGGGCACACACAGAACATTTGTAGAGTGTGAAGAAAACTTGGTGAGTTTACAGTTCTTTTTATATATCAATCATATTCGTACGTGTAATGCTTTGGAAAATATAGCATTTTAAAAACGAATGAATCATTTATAGTAGGCCTGTATTTGGGTGGTATTTTCAAAGTGATGCTGATAATTACAACTGTGATGTTTAGAATTATTTGTTGCTAAGTTTGTAAGTTTTCCTCATTTGTGATGTGAGTATGAAACCGGTTCTTATTTCAGGAGTAAGCCCCAGACAACCAGATGCTAAAGATGTTAAAGAAAACCAGATACCAAATGAAATACTTCAAACAATTGAAACGTTCAAGTAAGTTGTTACAGGGTAACGAGCATATACACACGTGTACCATATTTATGCAAGTGTTAAAAGAGGATTTGCCCCAAGCTTAATTGTCTTTAGGCAAAACGTCCATGTATTTGTATATGGTTTCAAATAGAAATGCACAGATGCCATGACATCATTACCAGAGGGTTTCCTCCAAAGCCAGCCTGTCCTCCCTCTCCCTCACCTAAATAAATAACCAGTCAGCCAGGTGTAAGAAGTGGAAGACACCAGGTCTTTAATATTGCAAAGCTACCCTAATAGTGGAATCCTTGTTTTCATATGTTATGAACAGTTAAGGCTGTAGTCGGATCTCATATGAACAATGTTTTTGGCCAAGCAATATAATAATCACGAGGTCACCACAACTCACACTAATTTTTCCCCCATGCTAAGAATATTACAGTCAGTTTCAGAGTAAATGTGCAACTAGGGCATATACGTGGTTCAATCCAAAAGTTCCTGAAATATAATAATAAAAACTATTACGTCTTACCTAGATCTTATTCTGCACCATCACCTTCAGAGTAGTTCCCTTGGGAGCGCATACACCGATCCCAGCGTTTCTGTCATGGTGGCATACCCAGTCGTTCGTGCACCACTTCTTTGGACATTTTCTCCTCATGTTCTCCCTCAAACGCCTTAGAACGTTGCGATAGAACTCTTTATTGACTGTCTGACCAGGAGGGACAAACTCCGTATGAACAATCCTGTCAATATCAAAAAAACAGATCAACATGGACTTAATGTTGCTCTTGACTTGTCAAGCTTTTTTGGCCGAGGTGAAGAAGGGTTCTTCCATTGCGACAATTGCTGCTTGCTTTCAGGGTCGTAGCCATAAACCCAACTTTCGTCACCAGTGACAACCTTCGAAAGAAAGTTTGGATCCTCTTGAAGCTGTTGCTGAAGTTCCCTGCAGACTTCCAAGCGATGCTCCTTCTGTTCATTTTGCAGCAGTCATGGCACAAACTTCGCCACAATCCTGCTCATGTTCAGTTCCTCTGACAAAATTTGTTGACATGTACCATAACTTAGCCCCAAGGTGTTACAGAGGTCTTGGATGGTCAGTCTACGATCTTGCAGAATCAGATCCCTAACTTTCGCGACATTTTCTGGTGTTTTGCCCATTGACGGCCGTCCCGAACGATCATCATCATCAGTCAATGTTCGGCCATTTTTAAAACACTTATACCAGTTGTAGGTTTGTGTCTGGCGTAAACTGTTTTCACCAAAAGCTTTCTTCAACATTTGGTGCATTTCTGCAGCAGTTTTCCCAAGTTTGAAACAAAACTTTATACAGACACGCTACTCTCTCAGGTCAGCTATCACAAAACCGCAAACTCACGGAAACACAACGATGGAAATACATTCAACAGTAAACCCAACCACTCAACTCGACACCGCTTGCCACACTGATTCAAGAAGGATGTGTGAGGAGACACCTAGCTGTATTTCGATATACTCATAACCATTCGTGCGCAAAATTCAAATTTCAGAAACTTTTGGATTGCCCCTCATGTCTTATATCTGTATGCTAAGCAGTCTTTGCCCCTGAAGATGGTGGCAGTACATTCCTTCAAAATGTCAGTGAACTTGTACCAGGTCACATGGTATCACATCCCATCACACTCATAATTTATAATGTCTGGTACTGAAGAAGCAAATAAAAGTGGTTTTAACCTTTTGATTTTACTCTTACACTTTTAGAGTCCAGAAGTTTGTGGTTTTTTCATTGGAGATTGTCTTTTTGTTTTTGGACTGTACTGTGAAACCCAAACCAATTCACAAGTCACTCTTTCTTACATTCTTCTTACATTCTAAAGAGCATGAGTAAATTTCTTTTCTCATTCCTGTTCCTACCATCCTACTCACACACGGTTCTTTGAAATCTCAGTTCATGTTTAGTTCTCTTGCCTTCTAAACAAGGAATCAGAGGTAATTTTATACCATTTCATTCACTTATTCCATATTTGGATTAGTTCCTGAAGTTGTCAGGTGACTGGATCCTTTGGCATCTAAATGTCTTCGCTTTCATGTTGTTATTGCTTAAACCATGAAAAACCTGTTCAGTAGTTACTGTTCCCTCTTTCTAAACTTCCTGTAACTTTTGTAAATATCAGTGTCTTTCTTCAGATTCACTGCTATTGGTATTCATTCTCTGTTTTGTTTATCACCTGTGTTTTTAACAAATGAAACATTGCACCAATAAAAATTACTTACTACAACCACAAAACATGTACATGAAATTGCTCAATCATATATTCATGCCATTCAGCACACCACCTTACTAGTCTTAGCTGCACTACAAAAATATCAACGTGTCATTTGTAAGAACTTATAAAATTCTGAAAAAGAAAATGAAAATAAAAGGCAATCAAAAGTGAATAAAATCTTAAAAAACAGTATCGTTATAAACACATGGCATGATCCAGTCCATTTCTAGCCAGACCATCAAAGTGAAATTACAAAACTTTTTGTCATTGTTCTTATGACTTTACAGGGATTTTGTTAAAACCCAGAAGGGTCAAAATTCAGACATAGCAAGAGGTTCAGTAAAGCCTCTCCACAAAGTTCAGGAAGACACTGAATCTCTGAAGCAGATGTTAGCAGGACTTACCAGTGGACTTCAACGGAACGGAGCATTGGCAGACAAATTGAAAGCGGATACAGCTAAGGTAATAAAATTTTGTATTTTTGTGCCCTTGGTTCCTTATATGGCTCTCTATAATGTGTCTAATATTATTTTTTAATTTTTTGGAGTTTCCGTTTCTTAATTCTGATAGTGTCTGCTTCATTAAAGGATAAATATTATTTGCAATTCTCTATTTCAGCATCCTGTTGCACATCTTTAATTAAACATCTGTGTATTAAGTCCATCAGTGATGCAACAATCATTAAAATATTCACCATTTAACACTAACACAACATGTTTCAGCCACAGATGGCCACCCTGAAGTGTTTTAGTGTGTCTAAACTGTTACACTGCTTTGATGCACTCTAAAATCATTGACAAACTTAATACATAAACGTTTAGATAAATATTATGTTCTATCCAAACACCAGAATTTACTAGTTTGATCACAGTAACAGTATAGCTGTGATACAGAGTAGGATTGTTGTTGTAAACTGAGTTGTATGAAATTGTGTGAAAATACTATGGGGAATTCCCCTATTTCAGTGGTTCTCAAACTGTGGGGCGTGAAGGTCTTGCAAGGGGGGTGCAGTATACTTTCCTACAGATAAAAATTAAAACTGCCCTAAATCAGTTAGAAAAGTAACAAAAAATAAAAATACATATAGAAAAACTTTTTGATGAGTACAGTCTTTAATTATCATGAATTTCAAAATAACTAATAATTAGTCTCTTTACCGGCAATAAGAAACGGATATGCCAGAGACAGCGTTGATAGTTCGGCAGTAGCCGCATCCTCTGAAATCCTCTGAAGTCTAGACTTTTTAAAATGCTGTGTGAGGAAATGGGTGCTGAACACACTGCTCTGTTGTCTTTTAGTGATGCTCGATGGCTTTCAAAAGGCAAGGTATTAAAGAGAATGTTTGAGCTGAGGCATGAGGTGTTCTGTTTTTTAAATGGGGAAAATCACTCACTGGCAGACAGTTTCAGCAACAAGGATTTTTTATTGAAAATGGCTTACCTCACAGATACATTTGATAAACTAAATATCCTCAACACTTCACTTCAAGGGAACGAGGCAACTGTACTTTCTTGGAATGACAAAGTGAAGGCATTCATGAGAAAATTGTACCTCTGGAGAAACAATATGGAAAGTGACAGGCTAGACATGTTCCCTACTCTAGTGTCAATGGTACAAGACACTGATAATCCAGTGCTTCCAATGGACATAAAAAGCTGCCTACTTGATCATCTCATAATGTTGAAAGTTCAATTCCAAAAATACTTCTGCAATGATTTTGATAAATACTATAAATGTCAATTTCATGTATAACATGAGTATTGAAGCTGTCCTCCAAACCTCCATTATGTCAAGGGCCCATTGTAATTAAAAATTAGCCTTTCACCTGCTTAATTTTTTAATAAACTGCATCTCTATTGACCAGTGTTCTCTTTATGGTAATCATTTTCTTGGGTCGTTACACCGTATGGTTGTGAGTGGCACTACTGACTTTTTGAGAGGTACATGCTCTGCTCATATTCAGAGTTGAACAACCCAAGAACAGAATTGGCATCAGTAATTACCCACTGTAAAGCCTAAAATTAACAGTGTTTTACTGTTTGCTGCCATGACAATATGTATTGATTGCTTTATGCGTTAAACAGTTGCCAAGTAACAAAGTGGCAATGGATATATATGGCTTTCATGCTGTAGAGAACAGTGTATGGAGGAATTTTCTGTACAAGATAATAACTTTTTTTTTCCTTGGCACTACAGTCCCAGTGGGCCTAGGCCTACCTCCATGAACTTCTCCATTCACTTCGGTTTTTCTAGATCTTACGCGTTTGGTAGGACTCCTTGGGCGGGTGATCAGCTTGTCACAAGGCCTCTACCTATACACAAACACAGAAAAACGCACACACACACAAACTAAACATCCATGCCCTGAGTGGGATTCGAACCCACGATCCCAGTTCCCTTGTGAGCGAAGACAGTACATGCCTTAGACCGCTCGGCTACCGTGACCGGCTAGATAATAACTTAGTGTCTGTGGATTATACATAAGATAGGATGTACAAAATTTGCTTTTGCTTATTTTATGACACTTGTCAGTAATGATTATTGAGTTTACTGTTATCTCAGTTACCGAGAGTATTCGTTTTTGAGTCTCAGAGTATTAATGATTTGTGCAAGACTTTCTGAATTTTCCAGTAACACCACATTTTTCTTGGTTGAATCCTATTGTCGTAGTATTTACATCATGCAGAGATGGCACAGTGGACACATGAAACTCCTCCTGGCCTGCAGTATGACAATGTGGCTCCTATAGAATATTTTACAGAACTTGTTGCGGGATTTGAACACAATATACAGGTTTTCAGGCAAGAGATTGAAAACACTGAGAAACATATTCAGTCATTAAGTCAGCCAGTGGTTCTTACTCCTCAAGGTAAGCAACACGATCATATATTGTTGATGCTGTATTCTGTACTAAATGAAACAGTTATTTATACAAATGTACCAAGGATTGCCAGAAAATGTACTATGTTATATAATGTTATTAAATGGAAAATATTATCAACTTAAGATTTGAAGTTCTCATGATAGACTATGATGGATACTGTCTTCCATCAGACTGTAACATCTCAGAAGTTCAGTATTCTTCAGGTTATAGATTTTTGCATAAGATTTATAAACCTAGAGATTTAGAAAGACAATGCAAAGATCTACTCTTGTACCAGTTATTCATGCATCCTCACTAGCCAGCTCAATGGAGCAGAGTCCTTCTTGAGACTCAAACAGTCTCTTGCCTAATTAAGAACTTCCCCACGTTGTATTACAGAACCTGAAAGTTCAGTACTATATTCACAAGATCCTACCACTGATCCCCATCCTGAATCAGATAAATCCAGTCCAGACTATCTCATCCAATTCCTTTTTAGGTACATTTTAATAATATCTTCCCCTGTGTGCATTGGTCTTCCACATTATCCTTTTCCAACTACATGTCCAGCCAAAAACATGTGCATTCTTTAAGAAGAATGTTTTAGTTTTATGTTTCAAATGGCATAGTATCATATAAAAAATGTTTGGTGTCTTAACTATTTTGAAACCCACTAACTAAGTGCATTAAAATCAAAACTATTCAAATCCATGGATGTGAGCATAAAGACAACTTTACCCTTAGCCTTTGTTATTTAAATTATAACAGTTAGTTGGTATAGAAGTGGTGTAAGATGTCATCACTGCTCTGGCCACAAGATGGATCCATTGTACCACCACTGATAATGGATGAATATGGAGCATTGGTGGGGAAATCTGAATTGCTTAGAGAAAATTCTACCCCATTGCCACTTAGTTCACAGCAAAATTGATTGCAATTTGATTGAACCTACTATATGCAGTCAGATTCTGTACAGCCTTTTGTGGTTATCATCATATGAGCAAATTGTTTCAGAATTAGCACTGGCATTGAAGAGGCTTCATGACAGCTTTATCACATTAGCTGGACGACTACAGACTGTTCATAATTCAGTTGAAACACAAAAGGAGCAGTATTTAAACCTGCGGAAATACTTCTTAAAAGATTCGACTAATGTCTTTGAAGAAAGCACCAAGAAATCTGCTGGTGGTGTTATCAAGCCCAACAATGGCACAAATGTTTCTCCTGGTCCAACACCTTTTTCAGGTAACTAAATTTGCTGTAACTGTGGGGTTGGCAGTATGGTGTCTCATGGCTCATCTCAGCCACTTCCATATTTTCTTACAAACATTTAAATTCCCATAAAACACAGCCAGCTAAATTTCTTACATTTATGAAATAAATCCCATTTTATAGTCCAGACTAATTCATTATAGGTCCCTTCAACACAATTTCTGTATAGATTGAATAAATTTATAGTTAAAAATGTATAAATTTATTCAATTTATACAGGAATTGTGTTGATGGAACTATAATAAATAGTTCACTGAAATACAGTATTACTGTGCACTAATTCCATTATTTCATATTGCTTTGTAATGGTAAAATTTAATAAATACATTGGTGCCTTTCTTTATTAATGCCCCTCCACACACACATGTGCATGCTTAAGTAGTAGTGACAGACACTTTTCGTTATGCCTCTTGTCATATACATTATAGGTAGAACCTGTGAACAGTGAAGATGGGGACTTGGCTCACCTGAAGATATTAAGACATGGGGCTATTCCCATGACTGCCTAGAACATGCACACAGGCTGGTTAAATATGAAACTACTACCATTAGTTGTTGTATGTGAACTACTGGTATTAGATGTCAGAGAATAAAAAGGGCAAAGATATATAACATTGTGAATGCTGTCATAAGAAGGCAATAAATTCAGAAGTTGGTGGAGGAGGGCTTCCCAACAATGAACCTGTATGGAAAAAGTTACGTAGGAAACCAGCAGAGGGCAGGAGACGGTAGATTCTCCGAACATATTCATATGAGGGATTTACAATAAACAGAGCAGTGGAAGTCAGCAAACTGTTCATAGTTTTGAGATATCAAAAGTTTTATGCAAACGATCATAAATTATATCACATTAGTTTGCTCTTAGAGGTTACATGTTGTGACAAATATGACCATTTGCTAGGCAGCAGTTCAGTAAACACTGCCTGAAAACCAGAATAACAACAGAAGTGGAAGTCATTTGCTAGGCAGCGGCATGCTAGCACGTGTTCCTGCTGCAACAAATATTAACAAAGACATTACCATGACAATGGGAGAATGACAATTAACATTTTGACGTGGTCATTTAAATTCCGCGGCCGCGGCTCCTGCGGTAATATATTCAGCCGGCCATTTAAATTTTGCTCGAAAATTATTTATTCATCATTGTTCTTAAATTCTATGAGATAGGAACATGAAACTTTCACTAAAATGATCTTAAAAGGTGGTTTTATAACCTTACCTTATAATATGAACCCCCTTTATATCTTCAATGGAAGCATGTTATTTAGTATTTGAGCAGAGAATGGTACGCCTTGAAGGATGAAACTTTCACTAAAATGATCTTAAAAGTTGGTTTTATAACCTTGCCTTATAATATGAGCACCCGGTATCTCGGCTATGTAAGCAGGTGACGCCTTGAAGCATTAGTCTAAACACAGAGCTGGCTCTCGAAACGACCACCAAGGTCAGTACGATAAAATGGCGTCAACTGGAGCGATAATGAGTACTTTTCCCTCCCCCACACACATCCGTATCGTCTCAGGGGGTGACCACAGTGTTCTGCCTTAAATTGTGGCGTATTTCTAAGAAATGGGTGCTATGTACTGTGCGAAAGCAATCGATTTTACGAGAATAACATTTTGGACAACCCTCTTCTAAGAATTCCAATGGAATGTGTTTGTGTGGCCAGCTCAGGGCAATATGATATTATATACAACAGCACACATCACCTCTCTGGTGTTTATTACTTCACAAGCAAAGCAAATACGCCATTGAGTGACGAAACCGCTACAAGAAGCAACACGAATTTGCTGCAAGACAGGCATATGTAACGATGACTTATCTCAGCTAAACTCGTTGGCTTAGTATACTCTGTTCTTGTGACAACAGGCCAGCGAAAAATCTAACAATCTACAGCAAAACCATCAATTATTATGGGCGTTAAAACATAGGTGTGCAGCTGGACGAAACATACACGCCGAACCCCCCCAGACGATTTAAATCCCTGACGAAACATACACGACGAACCACGGCAACGGGTTAACTGTTCAGTGTGGTGGCCTTTACTCAGTCCTCCTGAAGTTATAAAAGAGAGTTCATTCATGAATTCATTCATTCATAAAAGAATTCAGAAGACAATTCAGTAGTTAAGTGTTCAGCTGTGGAGTGTTAACCAGCAGACAACAGAAGCTGAACATGTGGCTAACTCACAAATCAGAACCAAGTCACTCACGCAGAAGAGAAAAGACTAATAGTCATGTGAGGAATGGAGTGAGTCGTAGATAGTCATTGATTATAGTGTGCCATCTATGCTCTGCTACCACAGCACAGCACTCTCTGGCACCTTTCGGCTCCGTGTACCTTTCCTCAATTGGAGGGGGAAACGGTGCTCCGTCATACGGCTCTCGTGCTGTGCTTGCACACTCCCTAAGTTAGAGTAAGGGATCCAAGCTAGCAGCAAGGTAAATCTAGTTGCAATGATGGCAATCAATATAATAACAAATAACAGAATTTAATAAACACAACTGACACATAACCAAAGACAAGAATTCATCGTCATTACAGCGCACGAGCCCAAGAAATTAAACAGAACAACTCAACTAATTGCACATTTACATGCTCGCACACAGCGGCATCTAACTCAGGCAGAATGGCCCATATTTACTGGCGCAACAATTTGCCTTGGTTACATGAAAACATAACTACTACTTTCTAGCCGGGCCACAGGCTGAGTCTAAACCAAATACACAATATAAATTATAAACACAGGTTTAACTAAACTGGTACGAGTCGCCGCTGTACTACAAACCCAACGACGGGCAACCGCGGGCAATCTCGCCGGCCGCGAACCAGCCCACTACTTGCCAAAACCAAATTTGGACTCCCAGCCAAACAGGAATTTGACAGTCACTCCGGCTGGCCAGTGCCGTGAGCAAGGCCCTATGGATCCATAATCAGAACTAACCTCCGAACTCAAATTAACTTCCAAGCAAGGCTCCCAGGGCTAGAAAGGGGGGGAGAGGGCAACACCACGTGACCCAGTCCCGCATGGGGAGGTGGTGGGGGATAAGTTTAAGGATCTCAGTCAAGGGGCTGGAAGCCCATGATGTCATACCGGAGCCACTGCATGGCTCAACAGTTGTAAAGAAGTACCAATAAATACAATCATCTAATCCAGTACCCATTAGTATTAGTCACGACAACCCCGACACTTGACAGTATATTGCATCTGTAACAAACAAAGTGTCTTGAAAACACGTTATATAAACAATTTAGTTGTGTCTGTTGTCTGTCATCTATTTGGTTTTGTACAACTGGTGCTTTCAAATAATTAGTTAAGTAAATAGTTGCATGCTTCTTGGGCCATATATTCATATGTTACACTACTATTTTCAGTGTTAGACAGTCAGCATGGATTTGGGTTGCTGCCAACAAATACCACAGAAACAAAATCCACTTTCACCTTAGGAAACCCACTAGGTAAATAGCTGTAAGACTACAGTTTGATATCCTATCAACTAAAAGGTAATGTTTAACATGGACCTACCGAACTGATAATACTAAACATTAATAATATATCTAAAGACTTGTTTATTTTGAATTGATTTGTATTAACTAGCTCGCCTTTTCTAAGGTCTTACATGGACATGAATTAAATATTTCATTAGCTTTACTACAAAACGTGTAATTATATGAATTTGTGTTGTATGTTCATAATGAAGGGAGTGGAAGTTGGTAATTTATAGACATATTCATTAATTTGTTAGAGCATCAGCAAATGATAAATAATATACTTTTCTTGTTTAGTTCTGTTTTTTTCACCCATCTTTCATTATTTGCTTATCTTTTAACTTCTTATTGCAGATGTAAACTTTGTATATTCCTTTGGATTAAAATATGGTAGTTTTTAGCTTGAATCATTATTTGGATTGTGTGAACAATAAAATTTTAGAATGCATCACTTTGGCATAAAATGCCCATCTAGTGATCAAACTTTGTAATTTTTGCTGTTTCTGTGTTTGTAATAGCCTGTTTTTGTCAACTAAGCATTGTATTTAAAGTGCAGTAAAGTGATATATTGGATTTGAATTGTGTAACATTTTCATCATGCAAGTTCTTTGCAGTCAATTTCACAGATTTGATCCTTGTTTGTTTTTGGTATCATTGATTTCCTGGTTCTTGAACTGTTGTTAATTCTTATAGGAATGGTACTAAATGTAACTTTGTACTAGAAGAAAGAATTTATTATACCTTTGATGGTACATTGGAACCCCCATTTAGTGTTCTCAGTTTATGGTTTTACCTCATGTAACAATCTGGCCCGCACAATGTTGCATCCCAGAAGACAGTACTCTTCAAATACAGAATTGTTTAAATTATTTGACGTCCTATATTTAACCAGTGTTTTAAACACAAAGTTTATGACATTGTATCAAGTGAAATATGAAATTCACCGACAGTTAAGCCTGACATTGGTAAAGAGACACTCAGCACAGATGAAGATGGAATTAATTTCTGAACCTGACTGAAATCTGAGTCATTAGCTCTTAGATCAGTTTATATTTCTTGAATTCAGGAGCAGATTTTGTGCAGTAACATTTGAATCATAGCACTTCTGTAGTTGCTTATCACAGCAGTTGTATTACTCAGAAATACTCCAAAAGTTTGTGATCATGGTACATTAGTACAAATATTATGTTTTTGGATATTATCCATTGTCATGTCTGTATCTGAAAACTGTCCTGTTTATTTTTCAAAACACATTTCAGAGACTGGATTCTGTCTCCATCTTCATGTAAAACCTACTCAGTTGGGCCCAATCGATAGAGCTAGTCCCTATCTCCAGGGATAGGGAAGGTCTTTAGATAAAGACAAGATGATAGATAATGTCCGAAAACATAATATTTGTTAAGTAAACTAGGCATGCATAGCATAGTCGGTTGAGGCACTATGCTACAAGCCGGAAGGTCGCAGGTTCAAGTCCTGATGAGGTCATTGGATTTTTTAAATTGACCTAATTCTTAAATATGGCCCTGGAGTCGACTCAGCCTCTAACAGAAATGAGTACCAGGAATATTCTTGGGGGTAAAGGGCGGCTGGCGCATAGGGCTGACAACCTTACCGCCATCTATGAGCCGATTGTCTAGAAAATGTGGGAACCTCAACTTCTCACAATCCTATGGTTTTCCATGGCCTGCTACAGGGATACCTTTACTTTTTAAACTGTTGCTCTTATTCAGAACAAGCTGTATGTGAAGAGTATGGTCTTACAGGTTGTAACACTGTGTAGTTGAGAGAGAGTCCAATCTTTCAGAGGAATGTATGGCCTTCATCTTCAGAGCTGAAGAGTAAGCCTATCAAGAAACCAGTAGAAGCAGGTGGCAAGCTGAAGTTTGCATCTGTACCACACAATTTAGATACTTCTCCTTTTACTGAAAAAGGCTGTCTGTCTTCCTGCCCACACTCACTGGTCTGGATTGGGCACTCAACTTTCTACCCCCTCCATTGGGTGTGAGTGACAACCTTTATTGCAGCCGGTTATATCAGGGGTAGCATTTACCTATGTTATATCAGTATCTGCCTACAAGACCACACAGTCTCACAACCCAGAAGACCATGAATAGTCACAGCCATATAAACCTCAAAAAGATAATTAATTGTTAAAAGCTTTTGCTTTATATTGTTCTTCATTAAGTAAATAAAGATAAGTTTCACTTCTTCACAACTTTTCCACCAGTGACCAAAGTTACTGAGCAGTACAACTCTTAATTAATGGTGTGTATATTTCGGTTAACTGTCATGTTCTTAATCTTCATGGGACATAAATAATTTAGTGTAATTATGGAGAGTAACTGAGAAATCATAGGTGTGGAAGAAATAATTAGAACAAAAATTGATGCATATGGAACAACAGTTTCGATAGAATTTGGTGGAGAACAAGAATACCCCAAAGAGTTGATGGTTGCCAGTCTTACAGGGGTATATTTTTTTCCAGGTTGGTATGAAGGGCAGCAACATCCATCTCAGTTTCCAACAAATCTCTGGCCTCTCTTCTCTGGCGGTTATTCTAGGACTGACTGCTTCTCGTAGAAGCTGGGCTATTTATAACCTCAGCGGCTGCTAGGGAAATGAATCCTCTGTTATAGCAGTGGAAACGTTGCTTTGTCGGTTCCGCGTTTCCTACGCAATGACCCATTGTTATTGCGTTGTCTCTGTGGGAACGCTTCGCATATTCGTCGTAACCGTGGAGATTCGATGTTAGAACTACAATAGGGCGATTGTTGTTTCTTATGCAACAGTCTGTTCTAGCGTTTCCATAGAAGTGACTCTTCTGGATTCCAGACACGTTACAATATTTTCATCTGGAGGTTTTACAGGTAGTCTAAACACACTTCCTACACCTCAGCCTGTTGATAATCAGAGCTTGCAACTTCAAAAACCACCTCCAGGAAACAAAAGAGGCAGGTGATAAAGTCGCAGTGTAGATAGTTGTGTCAGCCCAGGTTCTTGTGTTGTGAGCTTGTTGAGAATGTCTGCATCCTAACTGTAGATTTTTGTGACTGTAACATATCTCATTTAATATTAATTGTAATTAATTGTAATCTCATTAAATTTTGATAAAACCCATTACACATCATTCACAACCAAAAACAACCACCAAATTGATCTGGACATCAGTTATGCCAACAAATTAATCTGTAAAGTACTTGATACAAAATTCCTTGGGATACATGTAGACAGTACACTGTCTTGGAAAATACATATTGAACAAATTATACCTAAATTAAATGCAGCTTGCTATGCGATGAGATCAATTAAGCCTTTTATGTCACAGGAAACATTGAAGATGGTTTACCATGCCTACTTTCATTCTATTATGAACTATGGATTAATATTTTGGGGGAACTCTTCACATAGTGTAATAATTTTTAAAATACAAAAGAATATAATAAGAATCATTACAGGATGTAGAAGTAGAGATTCATGTAGAGAATTATTTAAGAAATTAAAAATTCTACCGCTTCAATCGCAATACATATTATCGCTTCTCCTATTTGTTGTTTACAACAAAGATAAATTCAAATTAAATTCTGATGTCTATAACATGAATACTAGACAAAAATATAACTTCCACCTACCCTCATCAACTTTATCAGTATATCAAAAAGGAGTCTACTTTACTGGCATAAAAGTGTTCAACAATCTGCCACAAAGTATTAAAAACTTGGGCAATGATACTAAAAAGTTTAAATCAGAGTTAAAGAATTATCTACATGCTCATTCCTTCTACTCTTTAGATGAATACTTCAATGTAAATAGAGAATGATGTAAAATTAAGTTATATTAATTTTTAAACTAAAATTGCCTGTACTTATGTATGTAACCTTTTGACTTGTTCTGTATCCAAAGGTACTAACCTGCTTAGGATTTATAGAATGTAAATAAATTCAATTCAATTATACAACAGTTAATATTTGTTTTCACTAAATCTTGAATGGAACAAGCGATGGGTAAGAAGTGTGACCCTTTGTGACACTATCCTATGTAAAGGAAGCACTGTTTTATGATAATAAATTCATTAATGCCTTGAGAATGAATTGCGTTGTATAATTTAACTGTACATCTTATGAAGCTTCATGGTGACATGTCTGAGCAGTAATGCTTATGTCACAGTTATTCTTTTGTGAATGATTAATGAATGAATGAATGTAATTAATAAATTAATTTGTGCATTGAGTGTAATTTATTTCAAATGCCCACTCACCTTTCCATGTTCAGACTGAAGCTGTATAAAAACATGTCCTGCAGAAGACATGAACTTCAATTAAAACTTGAATGCTTAGTTCAGAGCAGTTCTGTGTAACTGATTGTATGTGGATGATTTACTTAATTACAAGAAAAAATAACATCTCATATTTCCATATAATAATTGTGTTACAAAATACAAGACCAAAAATAAGACAGTACCTTATCTGCTTATTCAAATGATACTCCAGTTCTGTACTTTAATCCTTTGAAGCTGAAATTCGTGTAAATAATGCAATATTTTGAGTTCTCACGGCGTTGACTAAAGACTGCTTATCTTCTGGGGTGTGAGGCTCTACAATCTGGTAGGAGTTTACTGTTGTAGTGCAATAGTTTGCTTGTTTCCTAGGTCATCTTACTCTTGAACCCAGAAGATAGGGGCATAATTTTCCTCCAAAATATCATTGTGCTTATATCAGAATACACAGTTTCACATCCCAGGAGCTAGTATACTTGATCTAAATAATTTAAAAGGTTTGCTCTGACTGCACAGAGAACACACTGCATCTCCATTACCAAGACCATCTGTTATGTTCTGAGAATCATACAGGACACATAAATACATTCTGTGGGCAAAGTACTTAATTTCAGATGTTAAAGAAGGTTGTACAGGTATATACAGTATTCAATATATTTAAAAAGTGTTAAGTCTTTTTTTTTTTAACCTCAGCCTTTAACTCACATCTTGGTTGTCTTCTGTTTCACTGCATTTAAAAGTATTTAGACTGACTTTTCCCTAGCCTCATAGTCTTTTGATTATTTAGTGCACAGTTTATGAATTTTGTTCCATAATATAAAACTGGTGTTGTGTACACTACAATAAAATATACTGTTGTCTAATATTAACCTGTTGTCCATTTCATTTTAAACCCTAGTATAAGAAGCTCTCAGTCCAGGGTTTTTCTAAAATAAGAATTTACTATATATGAAAGGTCAGAGCCTTTTTGTTTCTCTGTTTTACTGTGTTAGAAGGAGCAGAGGGTTAAATTGTGTGTGTTGCAATATGTGTCCCATGACATATTTTCATTTTGGTTCTGTACACATGTTCCAAGAGTCTGTGACTGAAGAAGGAACATTGCCTAATTCTGCAAGTGACTACCAAAAGAATTTCCACTCAGTGTGGGACTGTCTTTGCAGTTGATCTGGAAGTATCTAGAGCAGCCATGTCAAACATGTGGCCCCCACAGCCACAAAGTGCCGCCCCTCAACTTTTAGAGCTAATTGATATTAAAATTTTAGTAGAAATATTTTTTGTAAAGATAATTTTCCAACAGACCAGAAGACAAGAATCTCATGCAGACATAAAGTAGCAGGCTGCAGGAAAAGTGATTCTGAGAATTGCAGAAGGGTTTGTTCAACGGTTTGTAAAGTTCGTGAAGGACAAACTATTGTATTTCAGAAGGTTAATGCACTAAAATCCGCACAGCCTCACCACCCCAAGTACAGTAAAACTTGGTTATAGCAACATCGGTTTCTGCGACACCTTGTCTATTGCATCAAATATTCAATGGTACGAACTAATTCCTCATAAAGCAACTGTTTTTATACCTTGCTTAGTACGACATGCACAAATGCATCAACCTCGTATGTAACGTCATTTTCATTCCTGAATTTCTCTGATAT